ATACTATAAATACATATAATGTTACAGGTTTACCTGCATAGCTGTATTTTCAATGCCTAAAGCCCATTGAAAAGTTATGTTGCGTATTAATGCATCAAAAGAGCCTTTAAAATAAATGAAAAAGAATGTTTAACTAACCATTCCCATTAAATAGAATATAAGCAAATCTGATGTTTCAGAGTCTGTGATTGTAAGTTATGATATGTTGGATGTGTTTCGTGCACTTTTCCCCCTAGCTATCAGTGCAGATGCCATAGCATAGCAAATATGGACCCCACTCAGCTACACACTGCTTGGCAAGCATTACAAATACCTCACACATTATGTTGGGTTTGTCCAGAACCTAGCCAGGAGCTGCTGGTGTGAAGAAGAATGTGAGGAAGCCACATGCACAGACATGCAGGAAACCCATACAATGGAATAATTGGCATATGCTAACAGCCATAGGGCATATTGACATGAATTCTGGTCTCAGGAGACAAGAACAGACTGGTAGAACCACATAATTTATGCAGCTATGGGACGATGACCAGTGGCTGCAAAACTTGCACACGCACAAGGCCACTTTCATGGAACTTTGTGAATTTCTTCCCCTTCACACACACAGGGTATGTCTACACTAGCCCCCTAGTTCGAAGTAGGGTGGCTAATATAGGCATTCGAGCTTGCAAATGAAGCCCGGGATTTAAATACCTTCTTCATTTGTATGTTCCCGGGCAGGCGCCATTTTTAAATCCCCTTAGTTCGAACTGACTACACACGGCAGTCAGAAATTAATCCGAACTAAGTCCTTAGTTCGGATTAACTGTTACTCCTCCTGCAATGAGGTATAACAGTTAATCTGAACTAAGGACTTAGTTCAGATTAACTTCTGACTGCCGCGTGTAGCCGCGGGCAGTCAGTTCGAACTAAGGGGATTTAAAAATGGTGCCCGCCCGGGAATATGCAAATATAACCAGGGATATTTAAATCCCGGGCTTCATTTGCAAGTTCAAATGCTTACATTAGCCACCCTAGTTCAAACTAGGGGGCTAGTGTAGACATACCCACTTACATAGAAGCACAGCAATACAAGAATGAGACTCACTCTGATAGTTGAGAAGAGAGTGGTCAGAGCCCTGTGGAAGCTTATAATGCCAGACTACTACTGGTCAGCTGGGAATCAATTCAGAGTAGGTAAATCTACAGTGGGTTTTGTTGTGATCCAATCAATACCCTTCTGCTAGGGAGGATAGCAACTCTTGGAAACATGCAGGACATAGTGGATGACTTTCCAGTGATGGGATTCGCTAACTGTGGTGGGGTGATAGATGGAACACACATCCCTATCACTCTGTCTAGACAGTTCTCCTATTTTCCTTTTGATGCTTTCTAAAATGTCCTCTGGTTATTTTTGATGCTATAAGAGCTCTTCTGTCTTAATGGCCACAGACAGAGGATTCGTTCTCATTTTGAGGCATGGAATTTGTGCACATAATTCCCTGTATGGAGAAACATTCCCCACGTACTTTTTAGTTTTCCTATGTATCTTGGTTCTGATTAGGAAGTTGTGATGGTAGCTGAAAGGGGATTAAGCAAATGTTATTTTATATATAAACTTTAATCTTAAATTAAGTTTTGCCTGATAATCCTAAAATTGGCTTCTAAAATTACACACCTGAGAAATTTGGTATTCAAAGGAATAATCATTTATCTGAGCAAAAGTGGGGTAAAACTCATAATTAGAAATGTTAATTTTCAACCCCAAAGCCTACAGACCTGTCTTATTTGGATTTTGAAACCACACCATCCAAAGTTTTCTAAGTCACTACCTGGGGAAAATTCAGTTGAAAAATTAGTGTAGGTGTTTTTGGAAATTGCAAATGTCGCACAGAACAGGTTAGAAAGACCAACAATGGTCCTTACCTTCTTTTGTTAATAAAGGCACATCTGTTACTTTGTATCCCAGTAGCAACTTGTGTCCCCTGTTGTAATGAGGGATGCAGGCCCTTGATACTGTACAAACAAATCATACAATAGAGTTCCTACCCCTACAGAGTTTACAATAATAGACAAGTACAATGAGTGGGGTTAGCGGGGAATGTCTAGGTTGGTGCCAGTCTAAAAAACGGTCAGGTTATACAAAGACACTAACAGGAATACTGTAAATTCAACCCTTATATGAATATCACTTCACTGTGGCTGTTGATCATTATATTACAAACTTCATGTTTTCTAGCAAGAAAGGTGTAGACACAAATTGTAGAGGTTTAGTAATACTATAATTCAACAGTAGATGGCAGAAAAGTCACATGCTGTTACTGAATTGGAGAACTTTTTCACTGAAAAATGTTAACTATGATTTAAAATCAGCTGTTGTGTTTCGATATTGTGGTAGAGCACAAGACTTGTAGCTAGAAGGTCTGGGTTCTGTTGCTGGCTCTGCTATTGAATTTGTTCTTGATTTTGGGAAGTTGACTTCTCTTTGTTGGAAATTAGTGCATGATGGAGAAACTGTGCCAGCAGCAGGACTGGTGAATGGCAAAAGAGCTTCTGTGTGGGTTCTAGCCTATCAGAGGGTCTCTCTCAACACTATGCCCCTTGTTTTCCTTTTCAGCACTGAGAATCAGTTAAGCCCATTACACTTTTGTTTATAGTCAGGTTCACTTCAGGCACTCTAGCATTTTCTTTTCTGCTGGAAATAAGTCTGGCTGTTAGAAGGATATGTTCATTGAGACAGTTAACCCCAGTGTTGATTTAGGTCAGATCTCCTATGTTTGCTAATATGTTAGCATATCTTAAGCGACAGTGATTGCTGGTGACAATACTTTAGATGTGTTGTCTAGAGAGAGAATGCATGCTAACACCTGTCTCTTTCTCTCCCTCTCTGCCCTCTCCTCCCCCAGGCTACAAAGTGGGATGAACCTGCAGATTTGTTTTGTAAATGACAGTGGTAGTGACAAGGATAGTGATGCAGATGACAGCAAGACTGAAACAAGCTTGGATACACCTTTGTCTCCAATGGTAGGTCTGATAATTAGTCTCACAAAAGACCTTAGTGAAGAAATAAAAAAATAAAAATAAAGCACAAGTGTATATATGAGCTTCTTTCATTTAAAATAGTTTTTTGGCACATGCATGTGTCATTCTTAATATATTTAGGATAGGTATAAATTAAGTTATGAATGGGAAAAATTATAAACTCACAATGATATAAGTATACGAGGAGCTTGTTAAGATAAGCTGGTTATAAAAATTGAAGAACAGTTCTTGATTATTTGTAAAAAATATTTTGGCTGCTGGTTGCAGTTGGCAAACTACTAGGTAGACAAGGTGGGCGAGGTAATACCTTTTATTGGACACACTTCTGTTGGTGAGAGATTCAATAAAAGCCTCAGTCACCTTCTCGCAAATATCCTGGGACTGACACAGCTACAACAGCATTGCACATTTCTAGGTAGCGCAGATGTGCTAGATTTGTGAATGTCACCTCCTATTATACTTCCCTTTTATGAGCTGGTAACAGTAAGGAAGGGAATGGCATAGCCTCTGCTTCCCAACATTCCTTCCTTCTGAACCCATCTGCTCTAATTCCCTCTTTCCCCCTATATTAACAGTACCTGAGGGCCTCCAACCCTTACTGGGATTTTCCAGAGTTTGATTGAAACCCACTCCCTTCAAGCACTCACTGATCTGGCAGGTTCCTTTTCTCTAACTACAAATATGCAAGATGTGATAAGCATTTAAGTCTCAGAGTGGTAGCTATGTTAGTCTGTAACTTTAAAAATGAGTAGTCTTGTGACACATTGGACACTAGCAAAAATATGTATAGTATCATGAGCTTTCGTGGGCAAAATCCAGTTTTTCAAATGAGTTTGAAGTGGGTTTTGCCACGAAAGCTCATGATACTATACATGTTTTTGTTGGTCTCCAAGGTGCCACAAGATTACTCATTAGCATTTAAGTGTTCCTGTCTTTGAAAATGGTTTTTGATATTTAAAAATAATTATCTCCATCTCCCCTAAAGAAATCATATCACTTGCATACATGAAAATTTTGAAGCTTAAAGCTAAAACTTCTTACAATGTTGTCTATCTTAAAATGTGAACATTATTATTCATTTAAAACTGTGTGCACACTTTCCTAGAGCAAGCAAAGCTCTTCATACTCTGATAGAGACACTACTGAAGAGGAATCTGAATCTCTAGATGACATGGATTTTCTCACTAGACAAAAGAAACTGCAAGCTGAAGCGAAAATGGCTTTGGCTATGGCAAAACCAATGGCCAAAATGCAAGTAGAGGTGGAAAAGCAGAACAGGAAAAAATCCCCAGTAGCTGATCTTGTGAGTATCAAACCTAAGACCAGTATGCATTAAATAAACTAAAAAATGTTTTTAATTTTTGTTGTTTTGAATACTTGACCACTCAACCATAATGATTTCTTTCCAGTTACCCAAATTCTGTACCAGTTCATGCAAATATCTCCAAAACTATATTGAAAAAAATTATTTACAAAGAATAAAATGCACTTAAAGTAATTTTTAGTTCTCATTATAGTCCGAGAAAGTAGAGAAAATAAATTTTATATTAGCTTTAAGGTGTTCTCTTGTACCACCACATGCAGTCTTATTTAGATCAAGTATTATACCTGCTAATAAACATTTGCAGGATCAAATCCATACTTAATGTTTTTATTATAATAAAACTAAATAGCAGGTGTGTGCGTCTGTTTATATAAGTAATATGTATGTGCATCAGAGAGAGAGAGAGATTCTTAGCAAACTTTTTCCTAGTTGTTACAAAATTATCTTATGTTGTTCAGCTGGAAATTATCCACTTTAGAACTGGGTTTCTCCACCCAGGGTCAGAACCCAAAATTGTGTCTCCAGAATGTTCCAAAGGGTAGCCTACCATCCCCTTTATCTCTTGACCCATGGGGCTGGTTGGACTCTTAACTCCCTGCACTGTGCATTGAAACTCTAAAGGGCCAGCACCTGTCAGGTTTGGCCCAGCCCTTGTCATAAGAGGAGTGCTGTTAGGGCAAATTTGAGTGAATGGCACCGCAGTCCCATGAGGCAGGTGACAACTCCACCCACAAGTTTGATCCACGAGAGCGGGGTCAAATCTGAGCAACCCTTCAACCCCCAAGGTTTCAACGCCCGAAGTGAAGATCGAAGCCAGGCCTTCAGTACAGGGGCTGCTACTGTGAAGTGGCAGGGCAGGATCCAGCAAAAACCACCTCAGGGCCTCCATGCCAGACCATTTACCGGGTTGCTAAAAATGCCATAAAACAGCTACAAATGGGTTCAGAATGACAGCTTTAGAAGATGTGACAGAATAATAAATGTATTCAAATTCAGAAACAGAGTAAGGCATGCAATACAGTGTACTTCAAAAGCATGTTTTTGCAATCAGTGGAGCTACCCACAAAACAACTTCTGTTTATTCCCATATAATACCTGTGTGTATGTTGAAAAACAAATGGCATATATATTTTTTAATATGTTGAAAAGCTTAAATATTACTTTAGGAGATAATTTACATCCTATTATCAGTAAATGTTTCAGAACTAACTGCTTAGATTTTTATTAAGCCTTTGTTCATTTTGTAAAATATGTGTGTAATGTATGTATATATAGAGAGAACTAATCAATCGTTACTACTGCTGTTCATAAATCTGTTCAGACTAGTAATTAAGCAATAAATGCAGCAGAAACAAAACTAAGCAGTAAAGAAA